TAGGACCTGCCTGTGAATCGCAGACATGTGAGCTTGGCCCAGGTCAGGTCAGTGAAAGCCCTTAATGAAAGGATGGTCACTGAATCCACCTCCAAGGAGTCCCTGCAGGCAGGATACAGGCTCTGAGCCATTGCATAAGCACTTGTGGCCTTTTGCCCCTAAGCATCACTCATGGCCACGTGCCACAGTCCATTGCTCCTCCATCTGAGCCTGAGGGACTCATTTCACCTGCTTCACTCATCTGGAGGTTAGTATTAAGCTGAGAGGGTCTTCCCTGTATTTTACAGGGGTATTGTTACTCCAAAGGGAGACTGAGCCCACTGGTCCTGTGCACCTTGCATAACTGCAATTAATTTCTCCCAAGAAACATCCTCGGGTGTCTGCAGTAGGTAAAACAAAGTCCAGACTTTGAGTCTAATTCTCCCACCAACACCGAGGTAGCAGCAGGTTACAAAGGCCTTGAAAATCTCATTTAATTCCCGTGTGGTTGGGAAGAGAAAAGCCCAGGGGAGGTTCTCTTTTATCCATGAGGACATGAAATTTCATTTGTGGCTGACAATGCCCTTAATCTTGCCTTTTTATTGATGAAGAATCCCTGGGTACCTCAACTGTTTCTCAGTTTCCCTAGACAGCAATTGACCTTGTTTCAGCTATGCATCAAAATTCAGTGGCAATCAAGGTGCTATTGATTTAAACCTAATGACCAGCCACTCAGGAATTTCAGCTGGAAAAGAAAAATCAATGCCACCTTATTATTATTATTATTATTATTATTATTATTATTATTATTATTATTATTTCTGTTAAGATATTATAATGAAAAGGCATAAGAGTCTCACCAGCTCCTTACCATTAAGCAATACACTTGCAGGGCTGAGAACATTGGGTCAGGCTCTGGTAAGGTAGCCAGCCAGCTACAGATTGAAATGACTCTAGGGTTAAACAATTTTCCTTGATTGCATGCTGCCAGCCGCATCTCTCTCTGCTACCTTCCCCAAGGCATGCGAGCTGCACTGCTGTGTGGGACTCCGGGGAGGATGTCTTCAGCAATGCATTAGCCCTGTTACTGGAGGAGCTGTGTGCGGGAAGGATGCTCCCTGTCTTGTCCTTGCCTCATTTCGGATGTTTCTTCCCCTCCTCTCCCATCCCAAGGGGAAAGTGTCACTCAGAATCTGCAAGATTGATTTACAAGGCCGGTTTAAATGCACGGCAGGTAAGCACCAGCCAGATCCATGGTAGGACTGAGCCACGCCACAGGCTCTCTCCTGTCTAGTAAGTGAGGCATGCCAGGATCCATCCTGTCACCCATAGGCTGAATGGTCCAACATCGACTGTGTCCATGCTGCTGAACTCTCTTACCTGCGAAAACAAGGTGGTTTTCCCCTTTAGGCTTCTCAGGAACATGCATGGTACTTACTGCACCGTAGGTATTGTCTGGGAGAGGATGCAGGCTGAAGCCAGGCTATGGGGTGTGCTAACACTTTGCTGGTGTGGATGATTAGGGAGGATGCTTGAGCCTGTGACATAGTTGTTCTCAGTTCCTTGGGATGGTAGAGGTATCACTCATAGAGTACCAAAGCTGTCGTGAGCAGTCCTAGTTTAGGTCTTTTGCAGAATCTTATCTGTCAGCACTCCAAATGCTTTGGAGCCAAATCACCTTTTGAAATGATGTTGAGTCTCCAGCCTCCTTTGAATCAGCCAAAGGGGCCTGGCTCCTGCATCACATAAGCTAATGAACATTGAGGAGCAAGGGATGGTGTGGGGCAGTCCTGACTCCTGATGACACTGACATCCCAGTGACGTTCTGAAGTGCTCCTGGGTCTCAGGTCACTTAGGCATACTGAAGCATTTTCCCCTGTGGCCTCTGCTTATTTTTCTTCTCTTGTTACTGAGGGGTGTGAGAAGAACTGAAGGTGGTTTTCATTTCCCATGATTTTGGAGTGTCCCCATGCAAGTCAACTTTAAAGAGATGGGAGTGACCCTTTCTCATAGTGCATCCCTTTCAAGATGACCACCTAAAACTGCATGAGGAACATGTACCGGTCTGCATACCAGCTACCTCTGGTGTCACTGTGCCTGCAGAGCCTCATTTACACCCATTCAAAGTGAGCATTTTCCATGAAGACAGTACAGCTGTCAGAGGAATGCCTGGAGTGAGACCTACGTTTCCAGAGCGAAGCATTATCTGGATGATAGGCAAGTGCAGAGACAACGTGAAGGGAATCTGACAGCACAGCTCAAAGGCATGTGATAAAGCTGCCTTAAAATGGCATTTTCCTGAGTGCTGCTCAAGCCAGACAATACCCATTTGTTGAAATGGTGTGACCGCATAGAGGTGCGAGTCCTGACCCAAGCTTTGCTGCAGCCATTGATGCAGTGGCCAACTATTGACCTCTTCATCCATTTTTCTGGGAGGAGAGCTGTTTGATTTGTGCATCTTCTTCCAATTTCTGCTACATCTGTGGCATATTTCTGCTGCCCATTTCAGTTTGCTTGGACAAACGGCAGGGCTAAGAATGCTTGTGAGATGGTTTACAGTTTTGGGTGAAGTCTCGCTGGCTTCGGTGGGGTTGATGGTTGGTGTCACATGTCAGGGAGCCTTGCACATTTTTCAGGCTAGCTCAGGGGGAACTGAGCAAAGTCTCCTGACAACTTACTCTTCAATTGCTGAGTTTTTCTCAGCTTCTGCCTGTGGTGATGTACTTTCATTTTGTTTCTGTGGGAGGGGCGGGAGGAAGAAGGGGAAGGTTTGTGGGCAAGCTGTTGGAGGCACAGCAGAATGATCTCCTAAGCAAGTAGTCCCACCCAACCTGGGTAAAGCAGCAGGTGTTCCCCAGCTGAGGTTGTGACTGGGTCCCACTCAGCCTCTGAAGCCTCCTAAACAGCAAAATTGGGACAGCTTAGCAGACCACAGGAGGTCTTGCAGGTTGCCAGCGCTCAGTGGGGAGCGGCGGATGGAAGACTGTTGTTCTGCAAGCACCAGTCCTAAGGCAAATGTCAACACATTGGCCTCCCCACCCACTCTCGCCTTCTGAACTTCGCTTCCTTCTTCCAAAAGCAGCTCCACCTCACATCAATACGTCTGTGCTGACACAGGCTGATGTTACTGTGCCAGGAACGGGAAGAGGGCATGGTCCTCTGTTCATTTAGCACAGGCATGGTTGCATATGGAAATGAGTTTTCCTTGGAAAGGCAGCACACCTGCTCTTAGTCTTATCTGCTGCAAAGGGATTGAGTGCTTTGGGACTAATCCTTTGGTGAAACTGAGTCCAAGCTTCCAAGCTAATCTGCAAATTGGTTTAATTTTGCCAGCAGGTTCCCCAGGTTTGGGGCTGAGAGCCGTGTAGTGTAAATTCCACGGGATCCCACCGTGGTGTATTTTCACTTGTGTAGCTTTCCTGTCAGTTCACTTAGGACAAGCACTGAGCTATTTGACAACACAATAAAATGGGTTTTCTATGTGTTAAACCAAGTGCTGTGAATGCAAGCATTGCAGCGTACTTAGGCTCTCTTGTATGTTAAACAAGTTTCTTGCTTCATTTGTAGTGTAAGAACACAAGACCAGCTATTAGCAATGGTTTAAATATCTCTTGCAAGCCAAAAGGGAGACTGCAGATGTTTATTTAGAGGAAATAAAATCTGGCTTTTTTGCTAGCCATTGCTCTGTTAGAGGATCTCTGATATAAAAGGGAAATAGAAAGCATCAAGTAAAATAATATGTATGTATGTGTGTTTGTATGTGTAATTCTTGTTTTCCTCCAGGCAGCACACTGGGAACAGGTAATCCTACTTTAATAATTTGGCCTTAGAGGATCTAATATGAAGCTCTTTGAAGCCAGGAGCATTTCTGTGATTTCTGTGGTCAGGCCCAGAAACAAAATCCTGAGCTCATTGTTGCTGTGGCAGATACATGAGTATTTCAAAAAGCATTTTCCTTTGTCTGCACCTGAGCAAAACTGGTGTCCTGGTGAGAAAGTGTTTGGGCTGGAAAAAAAGTACTTTTAGCCTTCTGAACTGTCCCTTTGATTTCTCATGCCTTAGTGCAACCCACACAAACCAGAGCCAGGCTGGTGGTCTGGTGGGACAGAGGACAGCTGTTGTTCCTGTGCAAAAGGAGACAGCCAGCTCCTGGGGCTCAAGCAACTGTGCCCCCATGTCTTCCAGGTGAATCTGGATGGGGATGGTCACACTGACAAGCCCCATCACAGCCCTTCAGTCTGTTGTCCCGGGACAGCCTCAGAGGCATCGGAAGAAGTAGGGCACCCACAGCAACACAGGGGATTTGAGACCCTGTCCAGAGGAGTTTTAATTCCTCTGGGTTAGATCTGACCTTGCCTTCAGGTGGTGTTTTTTCAGTCGATTTGAAGAGCGCTGCCTGCTTTTTTTCCTTCAGCTGGGTTTTCAAAGGGTAGTAAAGCACTTGCCAAGGGTGAAGGGTGGCTGCAGAGACTGACAGCTGAACACACCAGCTGCCTGCCCTTCGCAATTGCAGATTTCTGAGAACTGAAAACAGTTCTTTTATCTTTTATCTTTGTTTTTTTCCCTCATCTCTCTTATCAGAGTGTGTTTAGAGGAAAGGGACATTGTCCCCAGAAGGACAGTGGCGTACCGGTGGGAGGATGGAGGAGGCATCATAGCCCTTCTCTGACAGGGCCCACCATTACCAAGACATCTCAGGAAGTCCTCTGTCACCACACATTGTCATCTGCTCCTGTTTACCCCATGGATTTGGGGTGGGTTTTTTTGCCTCTCCCAGTGGGGATATATTTGGAGAGCTAGGGCAGGGTGTGTGCATATGTAGGGCTGTATTTCCTCATGAGGTGATACCGAAGACAAGCTGATTTGGGTGCCTTGATATGTTTTTCATTGCCTTTGTCCTCACCTTGGTATCTGTTCCCTTTCTTCATCAGGAAAATGGGAGCCACTGCCCCAGTGTGACCTGTCTCTAAGGTACAACAAAATAAAGACCACCCATCCCACTCCCTCAGACACCTCCCAGTATGGATGGCTTGGTTGAGCAGAACAGCGTGCTAATGCACAATAAGATCGCTGAAGCTGGGAAAAGGAATGGTTTAATTAATACAAGGAACTTAGTGGCAGAGAGCCGAGATGGTCTGGTCTCTGTGTACCCAACCCCCCAGTATCAGAGCCACCGAGCGGGCAGCCTTTCCTCTCCGAGCTGTCTGGAGAACGGCAGGAATGACCCTGTGCAGCAGCTCCTGGACCCCAACATGCTGCAGCAGACGGTGGAGTCTCACTACCGGCCCAACATCATCCTCTACTCAGAGAACATGCTGCGCTCGTGGGGCGAGAGCATTGGCTCGGAGTGCTGTGAAACTACCTTCATCGAGGACCGCTCTCCCACCAAAGACAGCCTGGAGTACCCGGACAGCAAGTTCATCGATCTCTCAGCAGATGACATCAAGATTCACACCCTCTCATATGATGTGGAGGAAGAGGAGGACTTCCAGGAGCTAGAGGTCAGATGTCATTTGGGATATGTGGGGAAGGCTGGGGGGAGGAGGGCATATTTGGGGTTAAGTGTACAGCCTCCAAGAGCTGGTCTGCAGGGGATCAGCTGCTTTGGAAGCTGGTTTGCATGGGATCAGCTGTATCACACTCTCCTCTGGCCAGGACAGTGAGCGATCACTCATCTTTATTTGTTGGGTAAAGTTCCAACTCTGGATACTAATGGCAAAAATCCCACTGGCCCTAATGGAGATCAGTATTTCCCTCCTACCTCTGAATGGGCTGGTTGGAAACTGAAGAAGACCCATGGGCTTAAACGCTGTGTAAGGTCAGGGCCAGGAGCATCTGTCCACGTACATGGAGGTTGTCTTACTCTGCAGGCCAACATCATCTCTTACTTTCTCCTGACTTGAGCTGGGCATAAAGCAGATTGTTTTGTATACTGGCTCAAACACAAAACATTTCTCTCTCTGAATGCACACAAAATCAGAAGTCTTTGGGTTTCAAGCTGAAATGAATCCCGTGTCTCTGAAATAAAAGACTTTTTTCTGATGGAGTGAAACCCTTCATTAGATCCCAAATGCAATGTTTTCTTTTAGGTTCCTGTGCTTCATTGATTGCTCACAGTAAAGTAAGATACATTTTGTTCTCCAAATGGGGCAGACTATGGAAATCAACTTCATTCTTTCTTAAATGATGCATTTTTTACTTTAAAAAACCTTTTTGGTTTTGGCTGAAACCAGCTGCCCAAGAGCGGCACAGATTTGTGTTTGCCAGTGTGTGTGGGAATGGAGGGTGTGCATAATGCTGCTGATCCCAAAACTTTCTCCAGCATTGGTCATAGACTCCTAACCTAGCAAAGACTGTTTGGCTGTCTGGAGCGAAGCCATAGCTTCAACTCGAATGTCCAAGTTGAGATCGAGAGACTATTTGCTCGTGTTTCTCTGTTGCAGGGGTTTTCTCCACTGAGACCTAACAAGTCCTAAAACTTCTATTTTCACCTCCTGTAATATCAGTGTCTCACCCTGTGATCAGCACAGGGGCAACCCAACAAGAGCCTGACTTCTCTTTTATTCTCTTTTCTCTCTGTATTGATAAAGTAGGAAAAAAGAGAGGTGTTTTTCCCAGTGTGTGCCAGTAACGCAGTATTCAATGCCTCCGCAGGGAGACAAAAAGTTTCTCTCTGAGGCATGTGAGGGTGTTAGCTCAAATCACACCCTTCTACAGCATTTCAAAATTGGCTGTGGGAAGTCTTGTTTTCTTAATCAAAACAAAATCCCTAGTTGCTGCCTTTTTGCCCTAGTTTCTCTAATGCAGTAGTGATGCAGGTGACTGCAGCAGGCATGTAATTGCCTAATGGTGTTATTGACATATCTGGCCTGACATTTAGGCAGCAAAAAAAAAATGTCTCCCTCTTGTCAATCCAAATCCAGCAAGACCTTCTTTAGCCAACTGTTGGAGAATAGGCTAAAAAAGGCCGGGAAAATAAGCAGGACAAGGAAAAATGTTTTATACCAAAAATCTTTTCCCTTTTCGTGGTGGGATTTTTAAGGTGCCTTTGCAATCTCGGGGCCTCAGTCTGTGTGTCTCTTCAAAGTGGCACTGTAGGAGCTTGATCAGCTTTTCATAGAGAACATTTGTTCTAGAAAACCACCTGTAAAACAAGGTCTGAGGAAAGTGACTTCATCCTTCCCCTCCCCAGATCTCAAGGGGAGAAAGGAGAGAGCCTTTGCAAATATTGGTACCATGCTGTGACAGCGCGTGCATCATTTTCCCTGGCTCCTCCTTCTTTCTGACCTATTTCTCTGGACTGTAGGCTCCTGAGGTCATACGCTTCCCTTCTTAAATGGGTGTACTGCATCTGGCACCACGGATTCCCAGCCTCACTTAACCCTGCAGGATGCTACTGTGCTAATAAACAGAGAGGTGTACGGACAGCCATCCGGACCTACACATACAAAGTGCTCAGAAGAGGACAACATTCACGAAGTACACACCCATATGTCTTCCTCTCTTCGGTGTCGGGGTTTCTCCTCCACCAGGGGAATGGAGCAAGGGAGGAGAAAATGAGGCAAGGTCTGGGGAAGGACCTGCCTGACTGGAAACATGTGCATTGCTAGAATTGCTAGAAGCCTCTGCTTCTAGCCCAGTATCAGTCTCCATCGCTGTGCTACTTGGCCAACCCAGTGCAGCGCTGCGATTTTCACACTTCTCCATGAACTGGACCTGAATGACCAACCTGCTGAGCAGCTGCACTCAGCACAAGGGGTCTCAGTATGGGGAGTAACTTCCATCCCAGGAAGGTCCAAATTCTGCAGATGCAGCTGGTCGTGCAGAAAGATGGGAAGGAGAGGAGAGATGCATTTGGCAGCACAAGACCAGCAAAAAAGGTGACTGCTGTGTTGTGCTTTTCTGGTTCCCATGTGGACAGGTGCTGTATCTATGTGGCCAGATGCATGAGGGCCTCCTGGGCTTGGCTAGTTGGTTCATTAGAGACGTAGCTTCATATGTTGAGACTCCAGGATTGGAAGAAAAGTATTTGAGGACAGCAGTCACTGAGTAGGGGAATGAACCATGCCAGATTGTTAACTACATAAAAATTTGCTTGTCTGTCCAAATGAGAAAAACAGCACCTGAATCACACAGCACGAGTCTGGCCCACTAGAAAGCTTTTTTTTCCACCAGTTACTAACAAGAAGCAAATGCTTTTTAAAATTACTAATAGACTTGAAGTGGGGTGGAAAGGGTTAGTACCAGGACTGGGAGCAGAAATTAAAAGGAGAACAATGAGAGAGGGTGAAACAGCAGAGGGGCAAGGTTTTGCTTCCCCACTGTGAGAGCCTTGAAGGATTTGATTCTGCCATTGAGGATGCACAGCACGTTGGTGAGTATCTTGCCACATTGACTGTCATGCCACAGCTCATCGAGGGGTGGGAGCTGCATAGTATAACAGCAGATCAGGGCTCGGTTCTTGTAAAGGTTTTTTGTTGTAACATACCTGCTTTGGCACTTCTTTCTGGGAGAAAACTCTAAAAATAGCCCCTTTTTGCAAACATGAGCAAAGAGGGGAGCTTTGTGCAGAAGAGCCGTTGTCTCTTGAAAACTGAGGGCTACCACCTGTTCTCTACATGTCAGCGCAAGGCAAGTGGATTCCCAACTGCGGCATCTCAGTAAAATGCCTTCTGGGAGGCAGAACAACCCTGGGGTTGCGAGTCATTTGTCTTCCCCCATGTCTCTCTGGCACTGCCTGTCTTATTGCAGAGTGCCTGCCTAGGGATTTTCAGGACTGGGTATTTAGTTTCTTAGAAATGCAGAAAAATCTAACTCATCCCTTTGTAGTGACCCCCTCCATGCAATACTTGCAGGAGTCCATGGACATATGCAGAAAATAGCTTTACTGCTAGTCAGTGTGTTTCTGCCAGGGTTTCGTTTTTGAAGAGAGTTGGGCTCTTGATAACCAGAAAGATTGTTGTTCTCTTGCAGAAAACTTCACCACGGAGAAGGTTTCTGAAAAAAGACAGCTATTTTGACTGACAGTGATTTGGTTTTGGTTTGAAGAGCTGACCCAGCCAGGCTGCAGGGGTTGCTGCTCTGTTACCTGTCATCCCCTTCAGGATGGGTCTATCCAGCTCAGCAATGTCTCTGACAAGTTGCCTAGAAGGAGGCACCTTCTTCCCTCCCCAAGCCTGGGGACTCTGCAGAACCTGGGAGATGTAGCAGAGAAGCAGGAGACATCCTAAGCAGGGGTCCTGCACATCGCTGCAACAACATGGCCACGTTTAACTTTTTTTTTTTTTTTTTTAAACTATCAGTGTTTCTCAGGTCCTGGTGTAATATTATTCAGACTGCCTACGAAAATCGTAATTGTCTGGACAGAAAAACATTTCTGAAACAGCTCTCATTAGCATATACAGCCCCACTTTGCTCCAGCAATTACCAGGCATGAAAGCAGAAGGCTGCGCATTCTGTCGAAGCTTTAAACTTCTCTCTTCAGTGCCCATCCCTGAAATCAAATGATTCCTTAAGAGGTATCTCTGGAACACTTATAAATATCGTATGAGTTCTTTACGCCACAACTAATGGACAGACAACTTGTCAAATGTGGTGGCAGTGAAATATTATATGAGTTGCTAGCTGGAATACCCTCTTGTTAGAGTTCATGTGTAAATGCAGTGCCATCTTTTATCCAGAAACATTATTTGTCATATTACACTCCTGCTAGTTTTCCTCCTAACCCCTAGATAGATGGCTTATTTAGAGAAACCCAAGCTATTGATGGCAGCAAATTGAATTATTCATATGTGTCGCATAAAAGAATACATCTGAGCTCGCTCTTAAAACCCTTTTTTTTTCCTAGCAGCATCTGAAACAGTCTCTGAAAACGAAATAAATAGAATGTTCTGGGGAGTGAAAGAAGAAAGGAAATGTAGTGCTTTCAGGCTAAACCTTCCTTCTTTTTTTCCCCTGCAAATTGCTGGATGCTCCTGTGAAACTCATCCCTTGGATGTGAGCATGAAAGTGTAGAGACAGAAGGTGGATCCTAAGCCATGTCCTGTTCCATCTAACCCCTCTTCTCAACGTTCCCAAGCACCTCCTGGCCACATCTCTTCTGCAACGTGAAGAGAAGGCCCTTGAGGGGTTTATGCACATATCGAGCCCCATGACATGCATGCTTTCTCCCAATGCTTCCAGCTTGCACAGGCTTGGATGGTCCTGCATTGCGCTGATAAGGCCTGAGCTGCTGTGTCCTCAGCCTCCCCTGGGAGTAGGTATCCAGAAAGCATGTTTGGACACCCCCCTGGGGAGCTGAGCATGGTGGGGTTCCCCTTCCAGAGAGCTCTGCAGCATGGGCGAAGAGGCAGTCTAGTGCAGACATGGGAGGCTGTAGCACAGATGACATCCTAGGCAGGTCTTGCATGCTTTACGTACTTGTTTGTATGGCCATTTCTCTTCGGGGTCTTGCATCTTGTTTTCACTAATGAATTCACTGGTCATAGCAGCGCTCTTGTGA